AAGAATGTTTCGATGTTATGTTTATCCATCATTATTTTACGAGTCAAAAGCATGGACAAGATCGAGACTTTCGAAAGATGGTGTTCTCGGCCAATGTTGAGAATCTCATAGACTGACAGGGTTTTCAACCTAGAACTGCGACAAAGAACTCCAAAACAAAAAGAAATCATTAACCCCCTAAAAAGAAGAACCTAACCTACCGCGTAATCAGAAAACCTAAATAAGCGATGCTAGAGAACAATGTGGAAAGAAAAGTCAATGACAGGGGGAGACAAGGGAAACAGAGAAGTTCTTAGCTCAAAAATTTGGGAGAATGGTTTAGATTGACATTAAACCAGGTATAATAAAAATTAAACGATTAAACTAACACGTATATTGAATATGATAATTCTCGCAAACAAATATCATAACTGCACATTTAGACTCTGTCTTTCTGAAACCCGTATCGAGTAGCAACTGATCGTTGTAAGACCATAAATCCGTGTCAGTTATGGTCGCACACCCTTGCCGGACCGCCAAATTTGATATTATATCGTAAACATACAATACAGCACGCCGACACATAATAGTCTAAATATATTACGTTATACAGGGAGTTATTTTATTGAGATCATATAATCTAATAAGTGAATCTGGACCCCACCTTGGTGTCAAATCGATATCAAATATTTCACTTGCGGCGAAAAATGCGGCAAAACATTTTATGTAAATTTCGATGAATGCGCTACAAAACCTATTTCGGTTATTTATTTGATAGATGGTTAGGCAAAAAACTAAAACCAATAACGTTAATTTGTGTTGTCATTTTGACTTGGGTTTGTTTGCAAGTTGTGTTGATTAGTAACAAGGAGCAAAAATCCTAGATGGTTTATAGATTGGACGATAAGCAAAATATGCAGGTTCCAAATTAATCTTTATGGCTGCCATCACCGATATAATTTTATAATGTATCCCAAAAATCGGCTAATGATATCATTAACATTAATAGGCATAAATAAATTCATCTAGTAAAGTGATATCATTGACAGTGATCGTATTTTTCATATTTTAAATAATAATTACTAACCAAAACTAACCTTTATTGTCTAACAAATGTAATACCCGTTTACAAGACAATTAATTCACTAAATATGGTCGCAACGCGAATAAAAGCAAATAACAAAAATACTGAATGAATATCAATAAACAATAAAATAAAAACCAAAGCACACATTTTAAGAAATATAAAAACTGAAAACTAACCGAAACTAACCAAAGCTAAGCTAGTAATTGAACTTTGACATCTATGTTACTACAAGTTCAATTAAAAATATCCATTACTTGAACGAGTGTACTTCGAAGCAGAAAGTTTGCGGAAGGAACTTGGTAGGTGGAATACTAGGGATGCGCTGATTGTTTGTGAAGGAACGTGAAAACCCACCTACGATAACAATTCAGAGCAGCCCACAATAGCTTAACTAAACAAAAGCCATTATTTTAAATCGTCTTATTATGAAAACCTCTCTGTGGGAACATACCATCACACTTAGACGCTAAAAATTTTAAAAATTTACTTTGAACTTTTTGTAACCGAATAATGTATTCATTGGAAATAGGTTGCCCCATATGCTAGATAAAATCTAACGTAAAGTTACTTGCATTTCGAAATATAAATTTATTTTATTTTCAGTGCACTGTTGCAAGTTTCATTGATATGGTCAGCAAACGAAAAATTAGTAGTGTCAACTAAAACTCTCAAATCGTTGGACCCATCACTTCGTGTTATTTTTTTAGTTTTCAATTTCCTAGATAATAATCAAAACCAATACTTATGCCTACCTGTTGAGTTTACACCAGGGTCAATAATCTGACAATCCCGGCGAAGGTGACCGTCTTGACTATGCACAACTCCAAATATTTTCACATCATTTGCGAATACTCGATGTACCGCTATATATCTTATTATTATATATTTTTGAATTCGTAAAAATTCGAAATTTTGGGTGTAGTCCGTCAAGGTATTTGTTCTGTGTTCCGCTAGTAGAGGGGAGTTTAACAATTTGTAATTTTAGCGCTAGATACAAGAATGTCCGAAAAATTATTTGTTTCAATGAAACACGATATATTTTGCCGACTCTTTAGTCAACAATTCTGAAAAATACTTTTATCATTTCTTCAATTTTTTACAGCAGAGAATTTAATAATAACACGTATGGGCATAATTTTTTTAAACATTTAAGTTTTAAAATACTGATCAGTAGATTGCTAGCAATTTAAAATCTGTAAACTAGTAGAAACCTATCTGGTACTTCGAACAACTCTTTTATTAAGTATCGAATTGTTAATGAAACTTCCCTTTATTTCGGGATTCTAATTCTGTTAAACGCTATTTTGTATTTATTTTATGATCGACCGAGAAGGGGTTTTTAATTTACGAAAAAAATTGCCCTTATTAAAATGGTAGTTCATTTTTATAAAAACAATTAAAACTATGCTAATAAGGACTTCTTTTGAAGATAAAAATTCCTTATTAAGAATTGTTTTCACCAATTTTGTTACATCTGTTATGTTGAAATTGCAATGCGCATTTTATGGACGAAACAATTTCTTTATTAAATTTGGAATGTCCATCGCACATGGGTGACTTTCGTAAAAGCTACGTCGCCGGATTCTATTTCAGTTTTCAGGAGTTTATTTGCAGTATAGAAGTATAGAAACAGTATTAGAAAGGTTTTTAACCAAATCATTCTCCAGACAGTTGCCTGATAGTATATTATGCAACAATTGTGTTAAATGGTATGGGACGTTTTCGGAGATATTACCGAACGGTTTGAATTTTGGGGTTTGTCAATTCTGACGATGGTGTTAATGAATGTATTCGAGTTGTCTTACAAAAATGTACCCAAAAGTATGACTTTTTGTAAAGTTTTTAAGTTAGGTGCCAATGAAACTCGTGAGTCAAATGCCGTTCACGTCATTTGTTGCATAATATACTATTTCTATATTCTATATCTATATTCTAAATTTGACATTTTGAGGTTAGGTTTACTCAGTTAGGTTTTGGCGAAAGTGTTGTTTGTGTTTTTTGTGATAAATTTAAAAAAATGTGACGGTTAAAAATGGAATTTAATCGGGAACATTTTCGTGCAATATTTTTTTACAACTTACAACTTAGAACTCAACAATCGATGAACTTAATTCGACTTTTGCAGTTAAAGCACCATCTAGGACTACTGCTAATCGCTGGTTTTCGGACTTCAGTCTTGGTCGTAGTTTTCTTAAGGATGAATTTCATGAAGGTCATCCAAAATCGGTTGTTGTTCAAGAAAACATTGATGCAGTGCGAAAACTAATTTTGCAGGATCGTCATGTGACTTACCATGAGATCTTTGGGCATTAGTGGAACCAGCATACATACAATTTTGTATGAATATTTGGCCGCTAAAAAAATTTGTTCGCTTTGGATTGTGTTAGAGCCGGTAAATATTTATAGAGAACAATTTTATGGTATTTTTTAGAATAAGAGGAATTTCAGTTTAAGATGCACATGTTTTTTCTCAATCCTATTCAAAAGTCAAAGTTTATGATTTTTACTGATGGTAACGATCGGCCTATTAATTTATGACCTCCTAGGGCATGGTTCACGTGACCTTTGAAGTAGGTATTGAGTTAAACAGATGTGTTTTACTTTTTAGAAAACTGAATTTTAGGACTTTAGTATCCTTAAGGATTTGGCAGGCATCGAAAGCCAATTTTTTCCGACAGGTTCTTTTTTACGAATTCAAGGCTTTGCTTGTAGAATTTATAACTTATCACTAATTATCTATCTTTGTTATTGTACATACTTTTTTACGTTACTTGTTTTTTTACTAATTTGGTGAGTTTACTGAATTAAAGGGTTGTGTGTAAAAATACTGCCTTTTATTTCAACGAATCGACGTGTTGCTGAAAGAGGTAGTTTTGGTGACGCGACAGATTCCACACAATTTGACATCAGCTCAAAAAAAGGCTCGTGTTTATTGGTCGAAGGAAATGCTAAAAAAGTACGATCGCGGTGCTTCCAAACACGTCTATGATATCGTGACAGGTGATGAATCTTGGATCTATGCATATGAACCTGGAAGTAAGCAACGGTCGACTGTGTGGGTCTTTCAGAATGAGACAAAGTCCACAAAAGTTGTTCGTGCGCGAAGCACCTTAAAAACAAATGGTAGCCTGTTTTTTCAGGAAACCTCTCCACGTTGCGACTGTTTCTTTGGTGAAAGGTAAAACAGTCAATTCTGAATGGGACACAACCTTTTGTATGCCGAAAGAATTCGAAAAAAATAGAAAAATCAACCGCCGAAATTAGAAAAACTAATCGCCGAAGACGAATCACTCTTCACGACGACAATCACTCTCCACCGATCAGTGCAAACAAAGAACTTTTTGAGCATTAAAAACGTTGATTTTATGAGCCATCCACCATATAGTCCTAATTTAGCACCTAATGGCTTCTTTTTATTCCATATATTAAGAATAAATTACGTGAGCAACGATTTTTAACACCAGAAGAAGCGATTGAAAAGCATGTTTTGGAGGCGCCTCACTCCATATGGGAAAAGTGCTTTGACGTTTGGTTTTATCGAATGCAAAACTGTATTTATTGATCATCAGGGTGAATATTTTGAGAAACAATAGTCATATTTGTTGGTAGCTTCTAGTTTTTTATTACAAATCCTGAAATATATAAGCTAGCACTCGCATTTGGTTCACTTCGATATTTTAATTTTTGTAGCAAATCGTCATTGTCAGCATGGGAACTAATAACCCGACTTTTCTGGTCAAAGGTTTATCAGTCATTCCATTTCATTTATTCCGGAATTATATCAACACGCGTGTCATAAACCCAGTGCGAGTTCCGTCGTCTCCAAACCGACCCCGAATCAGAATATGTACATAACATAAATTCCGTACGAAATACTATGGGGTATCGTTCCCCCAGGACCTTTGGACCTCTGGACTGTTTATTATCTTTAAAGGGACCGAGTTGGCACGGCTGTTCCGGAGTTCACACCCACATGACCAACACGCGCATCACCGACGTGGAAATCCTGGAACGACGTTATCCAGTTTACATACGCGCATTCAACCTGCGGAAGGGCAGCGGCGGAGCCGGCAAGTTTAATGGTGGGGACGGGGTGCGCAGAGAAATTATGTTCAGGTCTTCGTTGACGTTATCTGTGCTTACCGAGAGAAGAGCTTTGCAACCTTACGGAATGGCAGGTAGGCAACTTTTCGAGATGTCGGTTTCATCTTCGGGAGGGAGGATGGCGAGGAGCTCCTAACTAACATTTTTGATTTATAGTAGTAAATAACGGTTACAATTGTTCGCGAAAAATTTTCGTTAGTCTTATAAAACCCTAATAGCAATGGAGATCTTTAAAGGGTAAACCATTATAAAACCTATCTGAAGTGTTAATAAATACCAAACAAAAATCGCCCCTATTCGCTATACCTTTTGCTACATCACTTGTTGATAATATATTTTATTTACTTTAAAAATCATGAATTTTACTTTGACATTGCTATTAAAATGTTTTAATAATTATTAAAATATCCTCAAAAACTTTCCTACTCCTATCTGCAAAAAATAGGATATTTTCGGAAATATTACCCACAGCTTCAATTTTGACCTTTGTCAATTCTGACGGTCATGTTAATGAATATATTCGCGTTCTTGTGCAAAAATGTACACGTGACAAATTTCTTTAGACACTCGTGATTAAATTGTGGTTTATCAAACTTGTTGCATATTGGACTTTAATGTTGGAAGATTATACAACATATAGAACATCAGTTTTATTGTTAACACTTAACTATAAATTTCGATTGTTGTTCATAGAAATGAATTAACAATGAAATTTTTATTACGGGCAGGCCAATCAAGAAGGGCACTCGGCCGTATCTCAAAAAGTAATTTTCATACAGGTGAAAAATTAATGATCAAAGCAGGCATGAGAAATATTCTTGTATTACAGATAGCGTTTAAGGCTGGAATAAATTCAATTCTTTTCGTTAAATAGTTACAATATTTTTTAAGGTTTTCCGAATATATAACTGCAACATGACTTAACCGATTTTGCCAAACTTGGAGTCGTTGAAAAGGTCACTTCATAGGCCATTAACGCTGTCCTGAGCGGTTTGATTTAGCTTGCTTGCATCACTGATAGAGAGCCGTTCTGATATATTATTGCAATTTTAAATGCAACGATATCAGTTTTACTGCAACAAAAAATAGTCAAATAAGAGTCTGGCACGCTGCTGAAAATGACATTTCGATATCTCTTTCCTATCATGTATCGGTAAAAGAAATAAAAACTCGAAATATTGTCGTCATCATTGTGATTTTTTTCAGGATACCTAATATTTTTAAATATCAATTTTCGTTCTCCTAGCAAAATCTATATAAATTTACTGTTAAAATAAAAACATTATATTTAAAATATTAATAATAATTGACTATATTATTGATTATTACTGGTTGAAATTCGAAATTTTTTAAATCCAAAATCCAATTATTATGCTTGTGGCGTTTAAGTGTCAAATATATTAAGATTGCGGCTATTTCTAGTGTATTTTGGTGCCTTCTTTTTGTAAGAAATGTCTTTTCCAGAAGTGTTTGATATCATTCGTATTTTCAAAGCATTGAAAACGCAACTGTTTCTGTTAGAACTGTGCGGTGGACACTATAATGGAAGGTGTACTGAAAATAATCACAAAGATGCGACGTTGTTTCGAATTTTTATTTCTTTTACGAATGATATATCGAAATGCGGTTTTCAGCAGCGTATTGGACCCTTATTTGATTATCTTGTGTTGCAATAAAAGCGATGTCATTACATCTTATTATTTTGAAAAAATAATTTGATTCAAACAATTAAATGTTTCGTGAAACGTTGATCAGACAGTTAAGTAATTATTCAAGAAAATGCGGAACGGAACAAGAGAACGAGTCGATTCTAAACAATACACCACATTTGACCTAGTTTTGCGTAACTTTTGATTTACTTCGTCAAAAAAAAACGCCTACAAACGAGGGGAGTAAATTATTCTTCCACTTTATTAGCTATCGATCACGATTAGTTTAATGTACCGGAAAATAATGCGCTTTCATCCCGCCCACCTCCCTAGCGCGCGGCATTCAAATTATCTAATAAAAACTTTCCGACGACCTCCAACTTAACTCACTGCAATTTATTAAAGTCATTATAATGTAGTCAAAATCCGGAAAGTTACTTTATGTATTTAGACTCAAAAATAACGTGGCGTTTTTTTTGCACAAAAACGTTGTTTTGACGTAGGATACGGGCATTTTTCAAGCCCCCCGCCCGTTTCCCCCAATCCCTCGAATTATCCCTTTTATCGTGATGGTGCATTTTTCGCAGGCGGAGAGGCAGGCGCCAGGGGACTCAATCTACTCATCAGATCTGACGGCAGGACCATTAATCTCGGACCCAAAACGGCGGTGGATGTAAAACCTGGTGTAAGTCAGGCTTGCTTACCTTTTTGACGCTTTGTTGCTGAATTACTCTAAAAGTTGTTTAGTTTTGTTTGCGATACGGCAAAAACAAATCTTTACACGCTCGAGTTTTGTGAGAATATTAATTTTTGATCGATACTAAATCATTTTTCAATATACCCACTGTCCCAGTAAGGAGAACGCGGACGGGTATTAGGGATACTGACGATCCAAGAAATTTGAAAAAAAAGAGTAAATCGGCCTAAAGGAAGTGCTGCAAATTATTTTCAAGTTTCTGAAATGGCGAAATGGTGGTAAATCTTCAATTTCAAAAGTCGATCTCTACAAAAATTTCTAATATTAACCAAAGTTAAAGTGGGTACCGTTTTAATTTTTTTTTATTTAGTGCTGTTTGATATATCTCTGCTGCTCTATCCCGTTTTAAAATTCAAGTTAACAAAGACATCCCCTTCCTTACTGGGACGTCCTGTATATCTCTTTATAAATAACCGGATTATATATCATCTAGTAGCCATTATATATATATATATATATATATATATATATATATATATATATATATATATATATATATATATATATATATATATATATATATATATATATATATATATATATATATATATATATATATATATATATTTATATATATATATATATATATATATATATATATATATATATATGATGAGAAATTTATTTTGTTTTTCTGAATTATGATTTATTTATGAGTAACAAGTATATAGAAACTTAGCTTAATTCAGGAAAATAAATTACTAAACTTCTATTTTAAAGTCATACTTTATGTTTTCTATATTTGTTTTACTTACGAGAAATAATATAGTAATTTAAAATACACACTTGTAGGTTGCTCGTGCATCTTAAATCGAAACCCAGGGGGATCTCAATTAAATGACATGAATAATACTTTTGATATGAAAATGTCATTACACCAGCGACACTAGGCCTTTCTTATTGTCTTCTGGTACTGATGGTTCTGATCAGTTAAACCAAATATTTTGATGGTGAAATATGTGGTATATCACAGGTTCCAATTACTATTACTACGAGGGTTGTTCAATAAGTCCTTGGAAAAAATATTTTTTTAAGGAAGTTTTTCAATTCATTATACATTTATCTAAGGTTTTTTCGTTTTTTTTAAGCCCTGTAAAACGTATCCTAGGAAAGCTCCATAAAATATACATTTGGTTGGGCGTTAGGTGTAGGTGTAAACGCCGCAAGAGAGTAGAAATTGGAAGTCAACTGGCTACTTTTTCGACACGGGAAAAAATACGGACAAGGGTCGGTTTTCAGCGAACATGTTGAGCAAATGTTATTTCAGGAATTTCGGTGGTAATTTCAAAATTAGTTTCATGTACTTACTTATATATATTATTTATGAAGTTTATTCATTCATTCATTATTGCCTGTGACACACTACGATCGCCATTTACCAAATTTTCTATGGACAAATTTTGGGGTTTTGCACAGTAAAACATATACAATTACAATACAATACAATACATAATTTAAGAGTGCCAAGGCAAGCGAAACTATAATAGCTACTCTGTTAATTAATAGTTCACGAAAAATTATTTATTCGTAAGTTTTATTTGCATTTGCGCTGATAACAATCATTTGATTTGTCGCTAGAACGCCGCTCCCCTGGCTGTAATTTTCCAAAGTTCAATTATAATACGAGTTTTGTTTCCCATTATGCAATTTGTCGCCTCTTTTACTCTGTTGTAGAGTGGACCTTCTATTTAACATGCTTTTGGCTAAACGCTCACGGACATTGAATGAATCCATGATAATTTCGTTCACTCCCTATTGTATTGCCGGTGAACGCGGTATAAGCGTCTCTGCGAATTATTCTTCGCTGCCAATAGTAAACAAACCTTTTACCTTTGAAGCTGTTGCCGGCTCATTCTACCCGCATAAGCGACGATATTAAAGCATTATTTGTGGGTGCGATAACAAGTTTTGCACCATATGGTTTATGGAAAATGGCGCAAGAACATCGTACGATTTTTGTATTATATAATATTATATTTTAAATGGACTTACTGCAAAGACGGACAACTCGCAAGATATTTTTTGATTGTGCCGTCATACTAGAAAAATTAAAAGTTTTCTCTGATATTAAGGACCATCTAAATACTATATAGGCCATAAACAGCGTTGCAAACTTGATTTGTGGAGAAGTTGCAAATATATTGCTGTAGTTCCCCTAAAGTAGGTTTAAAGAACTATTTTTCTTTTATCATAAACCATGAAACACAAACATGAAACTCATATTACTCTAAAAAGAGTTATGGAAATGTGGACATTATACAGACCACTTTTTAAACCTGAAATAACGAAATGCACCTAATGAGATTTAATTTATTTTTTCGGATTGTGCCTCATGACGTTGCCATCATATTTTTAATTTGCGCAACTAGAGGGCCAGGGCAAAAATAATAATCTTTTTTCCTGGTCAACCAAATGTGTTTTTACTACTTTCCGTAAGTCCATTAAGTTGTTAATTAGCTTGTATTTATAAAACGCTTCTCGCAACAAAAGTTTACATTTTGTTTTTCATTTTCGGGTCATTCACAAAAAATTTTGTGGTTTTATACTTTTATCACTACGTGAAAAAATTATTTTATTTGTATGATGGTAAAGTAGTTGAATCCTACATAATGGCAATGCCGAAAGTTAATAGGGATAAGTTTTTTTTACTAAAGCTTTCTAAAATAAAAAACAGGTTCGAAACTATCAACAAACCTTTTACTAGTTTACTATTTAATTGATAGATGGTTTATAAAAGCAAGTAAAGATTGGAATTTGGTTTGACTTTAAAAAACCGTTAGGTAAGTTATTGATCTATTCGAATTTATAATAGTATAATAGTATTATTGAATTTAGATAAAAGTTTATATTTTTGAGACACGTTATATAATGTATTATCATTGTAACACAGTTAAGCTTTAATCAATGTGTCTTTGATGTCTCGAATAATATCGTAATTTCTACTTATGCTAAAAACTCTATCCATTGTACCATTTCAAATTTGTAGTACACTTAGGAAAGAAATTAAACTACTGTCCAAAATTAACGCAAATGTATTTTTAGACCAATTTGTGTCATTTGAAAACCATCGCCGAAATATTTAGCAATCTTAGTCTTTACTATTTTTAAAATGTATGTCATTTAATTCAGTTGCAAAATTGTAGTACTTCCAGTTTGATTGCTTTTTAAATGTTGGTTTTTCTTTTGGGTGGATTAATTCGCTATGTCAATATTTAACAATTTCATTATGAAAGGATGAATCGAGTATCTTGCTTGAGCATTGATGAATGCCTTTCAAATTTACTGGTTGTTAATCACTCAACAAAAGTTGAAAAGTCAAATTGATGAATGCTTTCTTCCACAACACGTACTAGTAGAGAGCTAAGTAATTATCTAGAAACTGCCAGAAATGTTAGGATTTCGGTCTTAACCGTCAGGAGAAGATTATATAAGAAGTCCGACGGGTTAGTATGCATCGCCACTTACTGGAGATCACAGTTCGCCTAGATTGTGTTTCGGTAAAGATTATGAAAACTGGACTATGGGTGACTGGAAGAGAGTTGTTCATAGAAAAAACCCGAGTGAGCCCAAAATCGCCAAGTGATAGTGATAGAGTATGGCGCTGACCTGGAATATTAAATCATTTCACTATTTCTCTAAAGGAGCCATTTGGTGGTGGTTCAAAAAAATTCTGGATGAAATATCTCGAAAATATTATCCAAGATTAGGTAATACACCGTTTGTAGGAGAGACCTTAATTTTCATGCAAGATAATGCATTTCTCCACATTGCAAGAACTGTTTTACACTTACTTAAATGAAATCAATATCCAGATCTTAGAGTCGCCACCACGCAGTCCAGATTTAAATCCAATAGCGCACCTTTGGGATGTTCTAGAACGTGTTGTTCTCTGGGAATGGGAAAAAATTCGTCGAGCAACCATCCAAAAGTAAATAACCAGTTTACCTTGATAAATGCAAACAGGAAGTAGGAGGAGGTACTACGCGTTATTGAAGTTCATGTATTTTTTGTAAATTGGTAATTCTCTTTGTTTGTGAATTTAAGCAGGTTTCTGTAATTTTTAAATTTTTGAATCGTATCAAATTTTGTATAATCCTTCCAACCTTAATTACAAATTATATGTTATCTGGTGCGATATTGTTTAATTATCTTTATTTATATTATACTTATTTATTTTAATTAAGTGGAGAATGCTAAAACAAGAACAATTACAAAAATTATAGTGATGCGTTAATTTTAAACATGTGGGGTTAACAACGATTGAAACTAAATTTTATCAGTTTCAAAATTTGTCTTAGGAATTTTTAATAGAACACTCGACTTCGATCGCCCATATATGGCGCATAGTTTTAATTATACTTTTGTAACGAGAATTGAATTTCACGCGGTTGTGAACATTTACAGAGCGGTATTTTATTTTAATACTAACTAAACCAAAAAACACCGAGGCTGAAAAATAAATGGGATGCCTTTTTGTGGGCTAGCGGTTTTGTTTATTAATATGAAACAAACACCAAACGTCCATATTGAATATTTAAATTAATTAAAACCAAGGGTATTCGTAATTTTTTGTCAGGTCTTTCATCCACCATAAAACAACTATTTTACAGGTAACTTTATCGCTAGATTCTAATACCGAAAATTAAAACGTAACATATTTTGAAAAGGTTGCATAGCTCTCGATACGATTCTAAAAAACTTATAGGTATGAGGAGATATTAAAAATAATAAATTGCAGAACAATCAAATTTTCAAAAAGTAACTGAGCTACAGCCTTAGCATTTAATAAAGTAATTACCCTTTTACGAAAGATAAAGTATGCTTTTTTAGGCAGTTTTTCTAAAACTTGACTTGAAATAGTTCATTCTTTTTCTATATTGTTGATTGCTCACATACCTTAAAATGAATAAGATTAGGATTTTTTTAACTTGTCAACCTATCTTGTAGTACTTAGTTTTTAAATGTAACTTTTATCGAAAACTATTTGAATAAGATTCACCTTCGTGTTTTTTATCTGTTGCAGACTAATGGTTTCATATTACGTGAACCCATTTTTTCCACAAGAGAGAGGAAATCGCAGCTTTTGATGAATTATTATAATTCCCTTTACAGTTCGGAACACAGCAAGTGTTTACCATAATTTTATCAAAAAAAGATACCAACACACGAAACACAAGGCTTTATTAATTATTAAAAGCACAGTTTTTAGTTTAAGATAAATAAAATAGACTTAGACAATACTTAAATATTTATATTGCTTTCAAACATAGTTCGTTTGGTATCGTTCGCAATTCAGTACCTCTATGGATTCATCGTCCAAAGCTTACCTGTTTCAAATCCAAATACAACACAAATTGCGTCAACAGGATGCATGTCACTCAAGAAAAGTTTATGATAAACTTTATTTGATTGTGATATATGCATACATGGCTCTCCACAATATTTAATGGAGTGTTTATATTTTGCTAGTTTCAATGGACAATGCAAGCATGGCGTTTGCGTTTAATAATACTTTCTCTGTTCTAAAAAAACACCACCTTTACACATGCTTGTGCTATTTTCTACAAACCACACACCACAAAACTGTCAACATATATGCAGCTAGAATGCGCTTGCCAAATGTTCAAAGGCAGAAAGGTGAACATTATGAAATACTTCCAACAGGCCACGTTTGTTTACTGTTAGCAGCACTATCAATAGAAATAAATTCATATTTTTTTGCACCTTTCATGGAATAGCGACCAGTGGCGCAGAGACCATCCATTTGTAAGAACAGATTGCTTCCATTAAAATTTAAAACAATATATCCTTTTTTTTAAATATCCAACCACTTGGGTTGGGGGGTGACTTATTTTATTATTTAAATCGACCATGTTTTATTGCGACTGTGTTGCTATGTTCCTGTGTTTAAAATATTTAAACTTTTTAAGACACTCGTTTATTAAGCACTCGCTCCGCTCGTGTCAAATACGTGTCGGGTCGAATACCGTTTACCTCACTCGTTGCATAATATACTATTTCAATAGAGATGCAGAAAAAATATTGTATACAACTTGGACGCGAACAAATTTCGCGCCTTTTACTGATATTTTGCGCGAAATGGCGTTTCTACGGGTTGTAAAAATGTATCATCAATCAAGCGAAACTATAATGTTAATTAATTAATAGTTCACGAAAAATTATTTATTCGTAAGTTTTATTTGCATTTGCGCTGATAACAATCATTTGATTTGTCGCTAGAACGCTATAGAAGTTCAATTATGATACGAGTTTTGTTTCCCATTATGCAATTTGTCGCCTCTTTTACTCTGTTGTAGACTGGACCTTCTATTTAACATGCTTATATTTCGAAATGTTCTTCACCGTATATGTAGACAAATTTTGCGTGAATAAAATTGACCACCGAGTTTGCGTAAAATATTGTTTGTTTTAGGACATATTTAGTCTGCACACACCTGGAGGCGGTGGATACGGCACCCCGCCGAAACATAAACTTCATGAACCTCCAACCACGACGGTACATAATAAAGTTTTCGTCGAACGAGGCAGCGTTTTTGAATATCGTCAGGCGCAAGAAAGCGCTTGATCGCATTTCTGCCTCCAGTAGTCTCTGCTAATAAAAGGTTGCTAATATATTAATTGCTTCATTTGAACCTCCTCGTTTCATTTAAAAACTCAAAAACTATTGAGCTATTTTTGAGATAAAAATTATTTTTTATATAATTTGTCATGAAAATAATTATCTGTCTTTCAACCGTTTTAGATAAACATCTCAAATTTTGTTTGCAGCATATTATTACGTAAGATTTAAGCTATTGCATAACTCACTGGATTACAATTCAGTCTTGATCAAAAAGTATTATAACGTACCATACCTATTTGAACTGAACTAGAATAATACAATGTAAGCAAATAGTCTGTCTTAGTAGTAAGCCATATTCTGACAATTGGAATAGACAGTATTTATCAATGTATTAAGAAGTTTTATGCTATTTTGATGTAGCGAATTCATATTGGAACAATGAATTAATATAAAAAACGGGTGTTTCTGTAGCCGAAAATGTAAGTTTGTTCCGTTGAACATTTACACTCGTTAATCCAAATAATTATTTTTAAAAAGTTTGGATTTTCTTGCTATTTTATCAAAATCTGAGAGGCCGGCGTTGGGTTGAAGAAATCGTAGGATATCGTGTTTATCATGCATGTCATTTGTCTTTAAAACTCGCTCGATTGACTTGCATTTAAATACAATATTGTTTATAGCTTGAGGATATGCATGAACTATATAGTAGTTTTAAAGCTTATTCTTTTCTCTTTTTCTCAATTTCTGCAGTCCTTGTGGTGATCTTATTGCACTTATAATAATTATTAATTTATTGCAATAGTAATAAATCGATATTTGAATATGAACTAACAAATTACTTCTTACTAGGAAAAATTGAATTATTCTAAAATTTTCTTTTTAACACCAAAACGGTTCAAAATTGGTGAAAATTTAGACTTTTTTCTCATCTATCATAGAGGGTGCATTATATACTTACTGGAAAGTCATTGGTTTGAATGAAATATTATTCCGTAACTCAACTAACGTAACGTATTAGCCAATTTGGGTTCAACGTTTGCGTAGATGATAACGCCGGCAGCGAAGAGCGGTTATACAGTGGGTCATACCGGAAATTTCGTCGATCTGTTATAGGTAAACTATGACTAGGAAAAATTTTAAAATTTGGAATTAAACTAATATTAGTGGTGGCAACCGGGCTAAAATATTTTCAAGATTCGGTTATCGGATTCGGGTGTTCATTTTTTTTTTAATTTTACTTATATATTATTCATATTTCACCGTTTTTGAGATATATTTTTATAATCTGTCCCATAAATTTTACTCTATTAACTTACCCTGAGAAAATGGTCTGCAAAATAATAATTAATAACAGGATGTTGAAAAATAAAATAAAATTAAATTAAAAAAAACTGGACAAAATCATCAAATGGAAAAAACAAAACTCTTGCCTTTTTAAAACGTTTATTAATAGGTAAATTCCATAGAGTTGCGATACAAAAAGAGTAAACTCGAATTCTGCACCTGCAGTGTCGAAGGAACAATGAAGAAAGGAAACGGACCAAGCGAAACGTCCGGAGACGACGTGACCACGTCGTCCGAAACGCGTGGCTGGGATATTTTTAATTAGGCCCAGTTTTAGTCACGCGTCGATACGTGCACGCAGATTGTCAACACATTATTATCGGAATAATCAATATTAATTAATTTAAAACGGAAAACAAAACCAACTAACAATGGATCGAATTAATCGACGCGTTGCGGTGGTCGTGGGGACAACGCCAAGCTCGCGTCCCGACGTCGTGGACGTCGCACGTCCCGCGTCTTTCAAAATACGCGTCTTTCGACGAAACGGTGTAGGAAACGGCCACTTCGTCGGACATAGTTTTGACCAGTTGCCGTGGGTGTCTCCTTTTGTACGGCTCCCAATCGGCTTTGAGCAAGTGTCAGTGTGTTACGATCACGTCCGGGGCCGATTTGGTCGTCTGAACGCTGTATCTGGAACAATTTACGGCGTCGTACGCATTTGCGCTATTTCTCGATGTCAAAATGTTATTTCGCGCGATTTTCAGCTCATTTTTAAATGCACTTGCCATGCCCTATTCATTTTGGGCGTTTTGAAATATTGCATTTTCATATTGATTTTTCACGATCTACGTAAGTGATCTCTGGAAAATACGTCAAATATCTTTAGTTGAAAGACCAAATTACAACTGTTATAGGAAAAGGTTTTACAAAAAAAAATTAGGTACTAAAAAAATTTATTATGTACTCACGGAACCACATGCCCTAAAAGGAATGAACCTGCAAATGGTTTTTGTATTAATATTTTCGGAATAAGTTAAGTGAGAGTTGTGATATTTTAGCGTTTTCGTAATTTTGTCATGCTGAATCTGATTCTATTATTATTATAAATCTGAAATTTTCATCAGGGGCGTAACTTTTGAGGTGTACAGATAGCGAAAACTGCAAAAACTTTTTTGTGGGTCAAATTTTAATAATAATTTACCTTTAAGTTAATTTGTTGCCATATAAATCGCTGTTAAGTGTAAAACATGCTCTAGTATATACAAAGCAAAATATACAGTTGATGAAATACAATAAAAACATTAAATGGCATACGTTAAAAAACTATATGAAATGTACACCAAGAGGCCCAGGTGAAAAAATGAATAAAAATTATTTACATAAAGTTAGTGCAACGATGTCATGGAAAATATTTCACATTGAAGGAGACGTCATTTTTAACTAGCATGCCTGAAAGTAAAGTTTGGAAAATTTGAAAAAATTCTATAGTGGCTAAGAAAACACAGACATTATCGAAGTGTTTTTATTTGTTTCAATGAGTTCATAATCAATAGTTCGCTGCAAACTTTATGGAATGTTTGCAAAACAAAAACTGCCCATATTATCATTACTTTAATCAAAACTGTTCCGGGATACTAATGGTGACATTAATTGTGTTGCAATAGTCCGATCGACATGCGTCATACACCCTGTAAGAGTTGGATTAATAATTGAAAATCATGTTACAAGTAAGCTTCGTCTAATAGATACAAACTATTCTACATGCAGGGTTAGAGAAATGCCTGTTTTTGGAACCAAAAATATTTCGGATTTCACTAGGGACTATCACTGCGATACAATACACCAAATAGCTATATTGTAATGGATAATGCATCCTATCATAGTCGCCTGTAGTGTGATGGAGTTGACAAACGCGTAAGTCAGAAATGTAACCGCTAAAAACTGGGACAATTGTATTCAACACGTAAAAAAAAATGAGGACTCAACTATATATAAATAGTTTAGAACCAATCAAAAGCCTTATTATTAATTTGGAGGACAGTAAGGATAGCGAAGTTAATAAAATTAAAATTCAACAATTCAATTATATTAAAATCTTAAACCCAACGATAATACATCCAGATATAATGACAGTGCGGGCCTGCACTACGTCCTTCCATTAGGCACACATAAATTTACGTCTTTAGGGTCCTATCGAATTTTATATGGGTTTAGGTAGTTGAGTCACTTTTTTAGATCATGAAACGTACTGTACGTTAAACATATAACATAATTGCTTTTTTTAAATTTGCCGTTTTTTCTCATGTAATCGTTCCCTATACCAAAAAGCGTTTGAATTATTAATTTTACTGTTTTTTCTCCCAAATTTGACACCACTAATTTTGCCGTTACGAGAGTCGTTCAAGTAGTCTTTAGTAAGTTTAAATCGAAAATGACATTTTGCCATTAAATAACACTCCTAACTGGCCAGCTGTTAAAATTTCTGCAGTATCCATAATTTAATCGTTCTTGTCGATTGAAGTAAGTTGTTTTAGATTTTCTATGAAAATATATAAAAGCGAACAGCGATTTAATACTTGTCTTTGAAAGGCTTGATGTCGAAAGAAATCAAAGCTGAGTTAAATCAAGTTCATAATTGGGTGAATGGAATCAAACTTGCTCGTAGATCTGTGAAAGTGTTTACTCACCCATCAATCAATAATCAAAAAAAGGTTTTTTTTAGTTAGGCATAAGAACTTACTGAACAGCCTTCGTATTCAAACTCATTGGATACCGAAATGTTGGTTGCAATTTGCGGAAGGAAAGATTTATCTAGATACATTTGTTCCATATTATACAGGATCGTCTCAAATTAGTAACACACACAAATCATCAAAACTTTGTTTTTTCAATAGTTCACTATTTGCTAAAATCCTGTAGGATAATAAAATTTGTTTGATAATGGTAAAACCTATCTCGAGGTTTTCGAGATAATCGCGACAGTTGTTTCAAATGGCATTATTTGAAGATATGTTGTTTCAAATTGATAAAGTTTCAAGACGAATGCCAAAGTTATGACAGTTGCATTAGTGATTTACTCGTTTCCAGAAATCTGTTTATTATGTATGTGACCATCGATCACCCGGTACAGAGTGTTAATGAGCGAACCTCAGTGTAAAATGTTTGTTGTTTCCATTTTCACAATTTTCATCAAATAAATAATTTATAACTAGTCATTATTCTGGGCAAGAATTTTTCTAAATATTCTCATTTTAAATTAAACTGACGACAAGCGATGGTGAAGGAAATAAATAGGTGACAATAATAATAAAAAATAATAATAAAAATAAAAGGTTGGAGAAATGTGGGCCAGAAAGTGAGATTGCTTGTTGAATACAAGTACCTCTCAAGAAATGTTCGTATATCATTTTCTCTATTTTAAATGTTCGCAAGTAAAAGCAATTAGTAAATTAGTATTAATAGACTCGCTTACCTTTTGTCGTATGGCGACAAGGACTTCTCGTGATGCATAATAATTTTCGCTTCGGCTTTACATTTTGGCTCCTTTTTACTGTACCCGAACGTGCTGAACGGAGCCTGAGGCGAATTTGTATGTACGCTGTTGTTTGGAGAATTAGTTCCTGAACTATATCTGAAAGCAAACGAGCTGGATTTATCATTTGACATAAACAGTTTTACATCAAAAGATGCACTTGTTTTACAAATTAATTGACCTTATAAACGCTATTACTATTATTGTTTAGCTTTTCTATATTTTTATTTTTTCTATTTATTAGTTTATTACAATTTTTAGAAGTTTCGACAACGCGTACTCAATTTCTTTTTAGTTAAAAATTTCATTTTTATTAAGCCTTTACTAAATTTTTAGCCTAGTTGATATAACTCTTTTTTGGTTTTTATTATATAAATAAATGGATATATATATATATATATATATATATATATATATATATATATATATATATATATATATATATATAACTAGATTCATCAGTTGCTGTGGGACCGCATAGAATTATTAACATCATGGCGCACTGAGAAAGACAAGGACATCACGTCAAAAAAACTGTGGAAGAAATTAGAAATCCTTCAGTCAAATTCCAAAAAATCAGGACAATTGCCAAATATAAACCGAAGCAGTGCAGTTCATAATTTTTCAGCATACCATCTTTCCGATACAGAAGTCAGTGTACTGAATAAAGGATTTAACTATGCAATAGTTCCAAAAAGAGTCCCCGTCGAAGAGATCGTTTCCAACGTCGATGCAAGTCTTTCCACCATAGACGAACAAGATGCGGAGTTAATTAGGCAAGATGTCGCCAGAGTCTTAAGACAGTCAAAACCACCGCAACCAAACTTAAGCAGAGAAGAAATGCAAGCTTTAAGGAATCTAAACAAAAACGAAAACATTCTAATAATGCCAGCAGACAAAGGAAATGCCACTGTCGTCATGAATACGTCGGATTATAATGCAAAATTGGAGGATATTTTGAACGACCCAGTCACCCTAGTCCCCAGAGATTCCACGACATATTTGGAAAAAACAACTAAGTCCAAAATTCTCGATTCATCAATAAACCAGGATACAAAGAAGAAACTTATTCCAATTGCTTTTGAATGGGATTATCCAAGGGTGGTCATTAACATACAATGCAACAAGATTATTACCTAAAGTTTCGGAATTTAAATTCAGGTAAAATTGTGTTCCGTAATAAAAAATAATTCTATACCTAACTGTGTTTAATATTCTTTGGTTTGGTATACTACTTAGTTTAAGTTTATTAGTAATCATTGTTATTTCGTGTGTAATACAGCGTGTGTTGAATCTTGTGAGAATTATGCAAAATATGTGCGAGTCTACTGTATCTCAGGAGAATGTAGAAACCAGTATTTTATTGAGACTAAAGAAGTTATAAACAATGTTTATTTGACTCTCATTGAACGTGGCAAGCAAGCATCTTTAGAAGAAACGGTCACATTGACGAAAATGTCAGCATCAACTGTATGGAAAATTGTGAATAATCCCATTTCAGCGAGGAAAAAAAGAAGCGATGCTGGCATTTGCTCGAGTGTAGATGAAAGTGATCAAGATATAACACGGCGTAAAATTTGCCAGTTATACGAGGAACAAAGCGTGCTTACATTAAATATCTTAATTAGGAGGCTTGAAAAAGATGAAACCGATGTTAAATGTGGCAGAACTACCTTATGGAAGTGTATTCAACACATGGGTTTTAGATTTAAAAAAATTGACAAAAGGCAAGTTTTAATGGAATCTTTTAGAATTCGGAAATGGCAACTGGAAATTTAGAAAAAATTAGGATTTACAGAGAACAACAAAGGCCAATTATTTACTTGGATGAAACCTGGTTCGACACTTATGATACTCCGGAAAAGGGTTGGGTTGACTCAACTGATAAGTGTAAAACAAACGCGCCATCAAAAAGAGGTAAAAGAATAACTATTTTGCATGCTGGCTCTAAAGATGGTTGGATTCCAAATGGACTTTTTCTGTCTGCGAAAAATATTAAAGATTTTTCTCTGCATTACCATGAAGACACCACCGCTGATTTATTTGAAAGTTGGTTAAAAAACAAACTAGTTCCAAACATTCCTCCTAATAACGTCATTGTAATGGACAATGCAAGTTATCACAGTAGACAGTTGACTAAAACCTCTTTCTCATGTGACACAAAAGCAACAATCCAAAAGTACATGTATAATAACGACATTTATTTTCACGCAGATTATACCAAAAAGCAATTAATTGAGGTTCTACAAAGCTTGAACCTACCAAAAGGAATACGCCTGTAATAATTATGCAAGAAATTTAGGGCGTACAGTTTAAAGGCCACCTTATCACTGTATATTTGATCCCATTGAACGTGTTTGACACCCACTGAAATGTGCCATTCGTCGTAACAATGTTTTTCCCGTGTTAACTCCAATGTCCTCAAACTTATAGAAACCGAAGTTTTTAACATCCCTCCACAAAGTTGGACAAATTCTGTTAAACATATAGAAAAAGCAGAACAATCGTATATCCACAATGCAAATAATATAGAACAAATAATAATTAGAACAAGCGATGATAGCGATAGTGGTACTGATATATTGTGTGAATAATTTTAAGTAATTTAAGTAGGTAATAAAAATAATTTGTAATTTCATTTTAGATTTAAACATAAATAAATAAATATTGTTTAGTATCTTTCATAACAAAAACCCAAATAATTAAATCCCAACCAAAGTACGGACCTGTTCGGCCATATTTCATTCTTACAGCTTGCCCGGGTCTTTCCTTAATTCGTATCAGTTTAGTCACTTTCTTTTATCTATGAATAGACTTTACCTAAATAAACATATTATAATATGTATTCTGTTGCTCTGTTCTACAATACCAACTGGTCGGGGGTTTTTTTCCCTTCGGAATGTTATTTCCATAAATGTTGTTAAAAGTCAAGACTATATACTTTGAGAAAAAGTATACTCCGGAATTCCTCTACGGAAAAAAGCAAAGACTTACTCTTGAGTGGTAAACAGGCTCTCCCGTGTTTGACACGCGCTGTCGCACATCTTGGGTAAAGGATCCTCGTCTACTGTATAAATGTTTTGATTGTACAGACTGCCGTTACGAGGCGAGCTCGATTTACGATTGTTCTTTATTAAAATCGGTAGCACGTCCTCGCCCGGCACGTAGCAAGGGGTCGTGACAGATTCAGATACGCCTCCAAACCTCGTAGACTCCACCGAAGGTGTTCGGGCGTTTCCGTTGCCTTTAAATGACGTTTTTTCCGAGTTGTCCGCGTCCAGTTCTTCCATGCTACGTTTGAAGGCCTGTAAAGAAGAAATAATAGTTGACTGATGGTATTCTAAGATTTTAAGTTGCTCTAGACTATAAACTGATGGTATTGATTGTACATATTGTGCGGAGGTAATTTTTGTTACGTTATTTTGTTTCGCTTTGTGCACATCTCTCTCCAAATGAGACACTTTTAAGGGAGATAGACGAAAACTAAAGTAGGTGTCTGGAGCTCGATTTTCATAAAAACAGAATGGTAGAATTGGCACATGGATATCTGTTTCCGTTTCAGAGTAGTAGGGTGCATTTTAAGAAAATCCCTGTAACTGTTTTTGTAATGGAAAGTTTTGGGTTCCTATGCTAACATTTACAGAGAATTTTTAAGGCAGTTTTTAGAATTAGATATAATATTTTAAGTACGGGTATTGGTATTGGTATTAAAGGGCGGCGGCCTCGCGGGCGTCCAAGCACTTAGGTCACCAGATGGGCCCGTTGTGCCCCCAGACCGCTCTAGAGGGCGTCCAGAATGCCGCCCCTTATTTTAAGTACTAATATTTTATTAGGAAGCAATCGAAAAGTTGTATATAGATAGAAAGTTTGAACTTTGAAAAAGTGGACATAACATATTAAACAAATGCATTTAACTTTATAAATAAATTTCACAAAATCTAAAGTATGCGTATGTTTTTTTAAGTTCTTATAACGTTAGTTTCATATTGACGTAAGAGAATTATTTTTAAAGGCTCCAAAAACCACTACTATATGACTCATAGGAAGTTCATTTAAAATTTTTTGGCCATTTCTTCTCATACTGACTACTGTCAATTAGTGGTAAACACTCTGCATTTTGACTCAAACAAAATATACAGGAAGTTTTATATAAAAAAAAATCGGTTGATAACTAATATACTATTAGTACTAAAAATATTGAAACCATTAAATTCTGCGTAGACGGTTGCTTTGGAAATTTTTCATAGAAACACAAAATGTTCCATAACAAAAATCGAAAAAACTCTCTAGGTATAACTCTGTTTTTACAACTATTTTTTTTTTAATGAAAATTATGATTTATGCGCGGACATTAATTTTCGTCTCTTATAGAAAAGGTAGTAACTCGAACAATGTGCAATTTGACCCAGCCCTGTAAGTGTGTATGTGTTGTTGCGGGGTATCTCAGTTATTATTAGAGACAAATGCGATGCGGTTTTTACGAAGCGGAGCTCTGTTTCCGTAAAATAAAAGATACCGCTTTTCAAACGGTCTAAGGTGGCTTTGTTTTTGAGATACAGGAAGAAATAAAAAATCGTATACTAATGAGTTGATAAAAAAAAAGATACATCTTTTTACATGAAATTCTTTGGAATAAGCAGATTTTTGTTAAAGATATAATTTTTAATATATGAAATAATGTTCTTTAAATAAATCATCCTGTATATTCTTCTATAATTTGATTGTACTCTCCATACGCGCTTCAAAAATGTATTATTGTCTAGACAAAGTTAAGACAAAAAAAAGTATAATTTTTAAGATGTAAAAATTTATGTTTATTTAAAAAAACACATTACAAATTTTGTAAAAGCATATGAAAAGTGCGATCAAATAAAAAAAAATATATAAAGCGTGTTCGATTAAAAAATGCATACCTTTAGCTCGTATCCTAAAAATTACATATTTAACAAAATATCATAATCAAAATCAGGAAACTTTATTTTATTAAGCAAATAGTGGATTTGCTGTCAGTATAAGATGCAGTTTCTTTGAATATTCCTAGATAAAAACGTAAATTTGAAAACTCTTGTTTGGTATCAGTGTTGGGAATCAAAATCTATTTATTACATAATCTAAAAGACATTTGAACAGAATCACAAATTTTAAGTGTTTATTACACCCAAAAATTAGGTATGGTATAATTTTGTATAGCAAATATTTCAAAAAATTGTGATTCCTGAAAATTCTATTTTAAAAAATATAATATAATAATAATATAAGCCGAAATATTTCGTGATTAAATGCCTGTCCTCGTTAGAAGAGTACTTTAGTGTCTTTTTAATTCCTTGTTTATAGATTACTGCCTTGATAAGTAGATTATAAGCCATTTAATTTTATTTTTTTGACAATTTTGTATACAAACATTGTATTTCTGGATTTATATAAAGATTATTTTTATTATTATTAAATTATTTTATTTTATGTATTAACATGTGCAACTTTCTAAAAATATTTTTTTCATACCGCAACGCGATCGCAAGATATCAAGGGCAGGTTTAAATGTGAATCAAGCAAGAAAACACAACACTCACAATCCATCAAAAACGTCTACTTCCATTTAAACCTACTCCCTGATGTAATACGCGGGAGGCCGTTGTCCTATAAGCCATTCGTTTCCATCTCTTACTCTTTACGATGAAAATAAATAAGCGACATTGGCACTTAAATTAATATTTTTCGTATGAAGAACGTGTAGTTCTTCTTCTTTTATAGTTTTATAAGAACACCATTGGTGTTACAAGTTTCGTTACTTCAAATTACCTCTAAGTTACTTTAAGGCTTTTACTATTAGGTTTTTATAACTTGAATTTATGAATCTTAAAGCATCTAATAAATATTCTGCAATTTCTATGAAATTTGAACTCCCATGCGCTTGGAACAACCATTTCACTATACGTTTGCACAATTTTAGCAGACATTTTTATCGATATTCACAAAACTGAACACACTTGATTGCATAATTGACATTTGACATTTGTGTACTAATGTTTTTCAATTGCTTTCCAGTTATTTTTAGGTTTATAGCGAATACGAAAATTTTTATAAATACCTTTTCCTACTCCCGTACCCAAAAACTAACGTTCGTAGAAAAAGTATAGTATGCAACACAGTGCGGTATACTTTTTAAGTCCCTCGTTTATTAAACACTCGCGCCGCTGTGCTCCGCCCGTGTCAAATAAATTCGTCAGTCAAATGCCGTTTACCGCACTTGTTGCATAATATAATATTTTTTTATTATAAATACTCCAAAATCAACTTAGGTTTTATTGCAAGAGGACTATTGTTAAAAGACACCTAGATGAGTGCTATAAAAGTTTCCAAGGTGTTTAATATTACTTGAAAGATTAAAAAACTAAAAGTTTTTTAAAAACACACCTGGTGAACATGACATCGTTTTGTGTGGGGCGGTTGTTTCTATATTTTTTCTTAATGACATAAACGGATTTTGATAACATGCATTTTAATTGCATAAAAATCATGAGGATTATTTAAATTTTCTCTTTTTAACCAAAATTACATTTTAAAATGCTTAAAACGAAAATGCTCCAGTTTTTGCAAGGATAAAAAATTAAATTATTAATTTAAAATATTTATTAAAATATTTTCTCATACTATTGTCAACTTTAGAGTAGAAGCATAAGAAAAAGGTAAAGCGAAGAGAACGTTTGCTGCTTTGTCTCTACCGTAGGTAGGTTTAATAACGGTTTATAAAGGTAACGTATATGAACTATTATTTGGTCATTGTTACCTTTCTAAGATTCTCCATTTAAGTGACATATGTTGATGGGTTCGCATGTTTTATAAAAATAGTTAATGGAAACGTACCAGTTACCGTTATAAAACAAAAAATATTATTCGAGACACGCAGGGGACCAAACGCGGTTCGAAAAGAAGATATAAACTGTATAGCTTATAAAAATAGTTAATGGAAACGTACCAGTTACCGTTATAAAACAAAAAATATTATTCGAGACACGCAGGGGACCAAACGCGGTTCGAAAAGAAGATATAAACTGTATAGCGTGTTAATCGCAGTTTTTCGAGCACCTATAATCACGAGATAAGGGGACTTTTATCTCTTAAACGCGTACTTAATGCGTTCTGGAACTGGGCCAACCGGTCGGAAAACTATTTAAAAGGGGACCAGCGATCCGCATCTAAAAATTTCCCACACCAAAAGGGAAAGGCAACGACACTTTTATCTATCTGCGCGAATTGCGAGGAGTTGTTAAGAACGTTATCGCGTGAAATAAAACCCAACCTTTGCTAAATGAACGGGCTGAGCAGATGACCGTTCTACGAACACTTTACACTTTTTAAGTTTGAGCACCAATTCCATTACTGGTAGTATTAGAATTAAAGAATTATTTATCCATTAAATATTACCAGTATCAAATTTCAGAAAATCAAAGTTTACATGAAAATGACGTCAGAGTCCGATAATGGCAAGTGTGGTATACGGCATTTGAGTCACGACGAGTGACTTAAAAAGTTTACCAAACGTGTTACATACTATATTTTTTCTACAACCGTTAGTTTTTAAGTAAGTTTTTGCACAGCAACTCGGATACATTCGCTGACATGACCGTCAGAATTGACAAACGTCAAAATTGAAGCCGTGCGGTAAAATCTGCGGAACATCTCAATGAACACGTGCGGTAATATTCGGGAAATATGCGATGGGGATCGGATCTGTGGAGGTAAACTAAAATATTGTTTTGCAAAAATGTACCCGAAAACTAACGGTCGTAGAAAAAGTATAGTATGCAACACGTTTGGTAAGTTACTCATTTATTAAACATTTGCTCCGCTCGTACCAAATAAACTAGTGACTCCAATGCCGTTTGCATAATATATTATTAAAGTATATTATGCAACAAGTGCGGTAAACGGAAATTCACTCACTCACGAGTTTTTAATAAAAACTACTGACGTGGTAAAGTGACGCTTCCCGCACGCTAGATCGGTGTGTAATTAGGTATTTTACAGACGGGAGTAGAAACACATTATTACAGTGTTTTAAATGTTTGTTAGGAGAAAGATTTTAGTATTGATATTCATTTAAAAAATTCATTACAGGTACAATTGTTTGATTAGTTTTTTCTAAAATATATAATGGCATAGTTATTGCTCACACCAATTATCATATTTTTTTGGTGAACACTTCGTTACGAAGAAAAATGGCGTATGTAACATTAATAATAATAATAGTTTGGTTTAGTTTGCTGTAAGTGATTGCATAATCAGCATCTATAGTCAATAACTA